TGTGTGTGTGTGTGTGTGTGTGTGGGCGTGCACATATATATTATGTAAAATATGTGTGTGTGTGTGTGTGTGTATGTGCATATTATATTAAATTATATTGCACAAATATTATAAACACATTTGACACATACTATTGAGAAAAAACACAGCAAAAGGAAAGGAAACCAGGTCCAAAAACCTCTCCAAGCAAGCAATTCAGATGTTATATTGAACATAAAAACTGCTTATAGATGCAAACATCACAATAAACCACAAAAAACTTCCTGTTATAATAACACAAAATTGCTAAGTAATGAAAAGTAAGACACTTACCGAAAGGAAATTGTATAAGTATTCGGTTGAATATATTGAGTTCATTTGCATTTTTTGCTGAATATAGGACCTAATCATTCATGTTTGCTTCAGATATGGTGAAATTAGGCAGTAACCTGGTGGACAAGATGGAGAGACAGCCGTCTGTGGAGGACGGTTTTGACAACATCCCCCTCATCACTCCACTGGAGGTCGGCCAGTTACAGCAGCCTTTCCCTGATAAGGTCATTACCATTCATGCATTAGAGAGCAGAACCCACACATAGTGCCATATTAAAGACAGCAGTGCACCTCTGTTACTCATTACTCCGCATAGAACTTCATTAAGGGGAAGAATGTCATAGGAGACCGGAGGTGGACCGGCAGACATCCAGTACCACTGATACCATCAAAGACACGGTAGAAACCACACCATCAAGATTCATTGTCACTGAGTATGATACAGTTTGTCACCAAAAGTCTTTGCAAACCATCTGATCACAAGCTTGCACACAAGCTCATGTCAGAACTCTCACAGATGGCTTATTTCTATTCTTAGCTCTGAAGGAGGCAAGTGCAACGGGTGGAAACGCACAGCAGAGTTTGAATTTAACTTTGCAGTGACTCATCTAAAAGATGACAAATTATATAGTAGTAGGAGCTCGCGCGCTGCATTTTTAATGTGCTGAAGTAACATCTTGTGTATCCTACAACCTACGCTGTTTAAAAAACCTGCCTCTACCTATATTTTTCCACAACATACCTATACATACAATTCACTGCAGATTCCAGCGGAAATGACCACTAGTGGCAGAAAAACAGATTTTTATTCCTTTTCATGGAAATTATGATTACAGGGGCAGAGTATTAATTAATAAAGACTCATTATCCTGCATCTCTTTGCACAATACGGTATGTTATGACCTCAACAAACAACCAAGTGCATGATTTGTAAACTAGAATAATACATTTTGATGTTTGCATGACATTACCAGCTCCACAAGTATGGCTTTTCTGACATAGTAAACTTGCTAGGTAGCACACCTGGTATAACATTGCACTTTCAGCGAGGAGCTAAAATGTCAAGGTTGCTTCAGCAAATGTGACCCTGGACCACAAAACCAGTCTTAAGTCGCTGGGGTATATTTGTAGCAATAGCCAAAAATACATTGTATGGGTCAAAAATATAGATTTTTCTTTTATGCCAAAAATCATTAGGACATTAAGTAAAGATCATGTTCCATGAAGATATTTTGTAAATTTCCTACCATAAATATATCAAAACTTAATTTTTGATTAGTAATATGCATAGCTAAGGACTTCATTTGGACAACTTTAAAGGCGATTTTCTCAGTATTTTGATTTTTTTTTTTCAGATTCCAGATATTCAAATAGTTGTATATCGGTCAAATATTGTCCTATCCTAACAAACCATACATAAATGGAAAGCTTATTTACTCAGCTTCCAGATGATGTATAAATCTCAGTTTCAAAAAATTTACCCATATGACTGGTTTTGTGGTCCAGTGTCACAAATGTGTTTTATCTTATGTTTGCTTTTGTTAAAGCTATCGGTTAGGTTTAGGACCGGGTCCTAAATTTCTAAATCCTAAATTTGGCTTCAATCAGAGCACATAAGACTTGGTTGGGATGTAATGTTGACTTTACTTTGGCTGTGCAAATAATTCCAAAAAGACTCATTGTTGTGTGTCAGTCAATGCTGCGCAAACTGGTCGACCATATTAGACTAACAACAATCCACCTCAACATAGTCAAGATGTTCTTTGGAACATAACGTCTTGTCGACCATTTAGAAACTTTTGAAAACACAGCTACATGCTTCAGCTGATTTTCCATTAGGGTTTCTAATGCTAACTCTGAAAGCAGCGAGCCCATTCTTGTGGTTTCTGCCCAGCCCCCTCTCATCTTGTTCTTTGTTTGGACTATTTTAATAGTTCGTTCTTTCTCTGTGACTCTATAGGTGATTGTGAAAACCACAGCAGAGTATCAACTGAAGGAGAAGAAGAGGAAGCTGTATGTGCCGAGCATCAAGAAACTAAACATAAACCTTTATGATGAGATGTCAGAGAAGCTCAAGGTAAAAAAAAAAAAGACAAGGACAGATTGCCCAGCCTACTTAGATCTTGCATTTGTCTCTCTGTTAGTGAGGGAAATGCGAGTATAAATAAAAAATGGAAGGCATAAATACATGTGTGAATGTCTGTGTTTTCCAGCTGACTGGGTTGATTATTATCACCTTGGCGTTCCTGGCGTGTCTGCTTCTGTTGGTCATGTATAAAGCGCTGTGGTACGATCAGCTCGGCTGCCCTGAGGGCTTCGTTCTCCAGGTACCCAGTATATCACAAATACACCATGCTGAGAACATTTGTGGGCTACTTTACAAACCATTTTTTGGTCTGAAATGTAGATGACAAATCACACTTCTGTAAACAAATGTCTTCACTTGTGGCTTTAGTGAAAACTAGCCAGTGGTTGCCACCGGTATGACATCTCAACATGATTTTCACCTCAAAACGTATCCTACTTTCTTTCATTGTGAATGAATCATCTGAGAATGATGGTATATAGCTACCAGATGAATAATAATTTATACAGCAGCCTGTGCATTAGTAGTTTGGATTTTTAAGTTACACTGTAACTCCAGCAAGTGGTGCCAAGTGACTGTCTTTACGCATGAGTCATTGAATCATTCATTCAACCCATTTGTTCAAAATTGCTGATTCATTCAGGCACAAAACAAGTGACTTCAAGTTGAATGGATCCGCAATTTTGATTCCAATTTAATTCATATTGTATTGTTTTCCTTGTTGCTTCATGTGAGGAACTTTATTTGTTTGATGCACAAATATGCTGTTTCAAGTTACCCACATATGAAAGTATATTTCTGTTAGGATAGGCAGCAGGTTAGCTTACTAGGTTTTGGAGCAGAGCGATTAAGTATTAACTGCATCTTTTGTTTGTGTGATATTCGTTTAAATTTACTTTGTTTGCAGCTCAGCAAAGCTTAGCTGCAGATCTTCAGTCTGCGGACAGCATCTGAAGCGGTGCATTAGCTTTGGTGGAGTGTGAGAATGTCTTTAATTAGTCTTAACCATGACTAAACTGTGATTAAGGCCTGCAGGGGTTTCCACCTCACCCCCTTTGATGCAGATACCACTGCCATAATTAGCATGCCACACTAATGTAGCGTTGCTAACTTGAAGAGCGGGAAAATTGCCTCTTGTTAAGATGGAATGAGGTTTATGGAAGCTATGGCATGTTGACGTCTCTTGATTGACGTCTTTCGGTCGCAAAACACCTTTTTGTTTTTGTGGGATGAGTAAAGTGTCACTTCAAGCATCTAAGCATCTGTTTTACAAATTGGAAATATAATAAATCTTTCATAGTTTGCATTCCTGAGAAATTGTTTATTACTGCTTACGCTATGTAGTCAGTTTTGGATCATTTAAGTTTAAGAATTTGGGTATGTTCAGATATATAGCTACAGGTTCTGTAAGTTTGAATTTTTTTAATTAATTTTGTGTTTATGTAACTTCCCAAATAAGAATATATTAAGATGTTCCTTTAACTAGAACTAGAAATAGTTATGTCTACTTTTTGCATAAAACTTAACGTGTCTATTCCATGCATAATATTATGTAGATGGTAAATTTATAGTTTTTTTTTGTCAATATTGTATAAGATGATTAGGTTGTCGACATGCTCTGTTAGGAATAACATTAACATAGCAATCTTAATTTTGTGGCAGAATATAGTATGTATATTTTGCACATTATACAAATTTTCTATATGAAATCCCAGATAATCTGCTATTTGCTCAAATGAGAGTTTTGCAACAGAACACATTGCATATTCATTCCATATTGATGGATCAAAATAATTAATATAATCTATTATTATTATTATTTGATTTACACTAACGGACACACACATTTTTATATTTTTGTTTCTGAGATGATAATTGGCCACTGATTGAATTAAACATGCAACATAATGAAACTTTTTTTTTTTGCTTGCTATATATATATATATATATATTCTGCAATACAAATGCTTTCAGAAATCTACTCCATACCCATTTAGAGGAAATCTAGACTGAAGCTCATCCGTACATGTTTTAAATGTCACCAAGCCACTTTTTGATGGCACGTCTCACTGTGGCATTGTAGGTCATGCTGCTTGTAATTCTGCGAAGTTTGTTAGGCGTTAGTTCTCGCTTATGGTTTCATTTGAAGTAATTTAGCTTAGTGTAATGAAGTGTACGTTGGCTGTGAATTGTATTCTAATGAACTGCAATGCAACTGAGAAACGAGTGCATTGGCAAGAAAAAGCATTCCAAAAACTGTGATAATTTTCCCTTAAATCAACTCTAACTACTGATTGTTCTCTTAAAGCAACGTGTCTTTGGTTTAAAAGAGAAAAGCGATTATTACACTTTTTTTGTTCATTTTACTAAATGAGAAAATCTGACTTTTGATCATAAGGACGAAATGATTTGTGCAAAAAAAACATTTTATACACATTTGCATGCTTAAAAACCACACCATTTCCTAGAATTTAAATTAAAGATGTGAAAACCAAGTCATTTGAATGTAAACAGGAGTAACGGTAAACTATTTTTAGGTATTAGAGCATTTTTGTGTTTGTTTGTGTGCTGAAACATTTACACAAAGCACCAGCAGCCATTTAAATGTTTATTAATGTTGTAGATTCTTTAAAAAGTTTAAGAATGTGAAAACACCTCATGAAGGTGAGTGACATTTGAATTGTTTTTGTGTACATTTATCACTTCTACAGCAAATCAGTCCCAGCTGAATGTATAAACTTTCAAAAGCAGCTTGAAACATGTTTCCCCTTTCTGTTGCTGTTTTTATTTATTTATTGTGCTTTATATTTATCTGTTGTGATCTGATTTTTTTCCCAATTGCTAAATGTAAAGTTCTAATGTGTATTTATTTATTTATTTCTCTTATTTATTTGACTGGTGCTGGAAGGATGAATTGAAGTTCTTGTAAGGTGCAGCAGGTGAAATCATAAAGCCTGCAGTATTAGTCATTTCTGTGTGTGACAACCATTCATTCATCCTCAATGGATAATAACACAATAAAGGTTTCAGTATTCAGCAGCGCGGTGTTCTATCATTGCACTGGAGATTCTACAACTGCAGTTGGTGTGCATGTAATGTGCATATAATGGTGAATAGGTTGTATTATTCAGAAAAATCCAGAGCTTTGAGTTTGTAACAGTGGTGCTGTAAATTCATAACATGTAATTCATAAATATTTATTATTTGTAGTGTTAATATTATTTAACAACGGTGATGATGATAACAATAATAATGATTATTATAGAACATAAATTAATTAAAAAGGATTGAATAAAAACTTATTTACACTGGACTAATAAACTAATAATAATAATAATAGCAATAATAAATTATTGTTATAAGTTAATTAAAAAGGATTGAATAAAAATGTAGTTAAATTGATTATAAAATTAAAAATAGCAATAATAATGACAATTAGATCATACGTTCATTAAAAATGGTTGGATATAAATTTAAGTTGGATTATAGAATTATTATTATAGATCATAAATTCATTAAAAAGCATGGAGTTAAATTGTATTAACAATTATTTGAAGGAGAAAACAAAATTAAATGCAAACGTTAAATTGATTATGCATGCTACATTTGTGACATTTTAGTCTAAATATAAATATGTGGCTAACATTCAAATGAGAATATTTTATCTATAGGTATAAATGTTCAAAAGTCATATTTAAAATTTTAATAGATTGTATTTTACATAACCTAAAAATTATTGTACACACACACACACACAGAGGATTTCACACCATGTTCCTTCTAGTCCTCTGTGTAATTAACATTTTCATTCCTTGCATTGTACTGTATGTTGTGCAGGCGCTGAACCCAATGAAGGGTTAAAAAGTAATTATTAGAGAATAGCATAGTCAGCTCACAGCAGGTGTTGCCAGGGGAAAGGGCGTTCATTTGAGTGAGGGTGTAAAGTGGTTGTGTGTCAAGCCCTGTTTGAGGTGTGTGTGTGTCTCAGTATGATCTCCTGAATACTGGCGCCAGCAGAGAATGCCTTTCATTACAGATCTCTCTCTCTCTCTCTCTCTCTCCCT